CACCTTTGTGAACGGGGCTTAATAAGCAGGTGATGGCGGTGCCCGTGTCCCCGCCACTCACACAGGAAGCCTCACCAGAATCGCTGGGGCTGGCTAATGAGATCTGGCAGCAGGGCCACTAAAACAGAAGGCTGAGGACCAATGAGCAAGCTCATTCCTCTGGCTCTGGCTGTCATTTCACCACCTTTCTTGTTCTCCTCTGGGGATGGCGGGTCTGATCAGTTATGACTCAAAGAGGAGGAAGGTGGTCCGAGGTGGCCCTGTCAGCTTGATGCTGATGGCCACTGCCTCCCTGCTGTTACTGAGCACCACCCGCTGACGCGTGCACACAGTGGTGATGGGCCTGGGCTAGTGCCGGGCAGCAGAAATGCTGGTGGGCAAGCCTGGCCCCATAAAGAGTGGGAGACAGCGGAACTGGACCCGAGAGAAGACCACCCACTCCGCCCTGGATGCTCACGTCAACAGATGGGATCCGAGGGCTGATCCCATTGGGAAAACCGGAAGGGGCAGGCTTCTCTGGCTAGTCTCGCCTTCCTTCCTTACATACTAGCTGACCCTGCTTTTAAACAAACCTTTGTTTTCAAACAGAAAAGTAACACCTGCTCATTGTAAAGATTTAAACAATACAAAAGTAGACAGAGAAAAAAAAATCCTTGCATTGCCCCCTCCTCCCCACAACGTAGGACACACTAAGGTTTGGTGCGAATCTTTTAGTTCCATTACTATACATATACAAACATGTAATGTGTGTGTATATATATATATATCTATACACACACACAAACATATAATCTTATAAATGCAAGATTATGCATACATAATATTCTACAGTTCCAGGTGGTAAATTCCTGGAATCGAAATTTCTGGGTGACCCTTTTCTCAGTGGGTTCTCTCTCCTCTCCTCTTTCCATATGTTGGGGTGTAGGCAGCATGCATCCATCAAGGGTAGGAGGTCCCCAAACATTATATCGGTTATTTGCTAGAAAGACATCCTTGCCCTCCAGGTGCTTACAGTCCACTTGGGGGAAATGGGTGGATGGATAAATAAGTGATAAAGAAATCACAAAATGGCCTTGGGATGAGAGGACCCCCGGAGTCATTTATTCCAACACAGCACTGAATAATCCTGAGGGATGGCCATCCGGCTACACAACGGGACGGGCCCAAAGTCAAAAGATCCCGTCCGAATCTTAGTCTCTCAACACTCTGATGCGTGACCGCAGGCATGTCAGTAACCTGAGACCCAGCTGTCTCATCTGCTAAACGGGGACCCTGAAACCTACACAAAAGCATTTAGTAGGACAATTACATGTAAGAAACAATGTTCACGTGCCCAGTGCAGTGCCTGGCACGTACACAGTGGGCACCCTGTACACATCAGCAGAACCTCTGGGGAGGCGGAAGCTGTCCTCAGATGAGCAGCCCTTCGAAAGCCCTCACCTTTGCAAAGCTGAAACGCACCTCCCCCAGCTTCCAGCCGGCGGCCCTTGTGTCAGAAGGAAGATCTGGACCAAACACTCTCGAAGCAGGAGGCGAGAAACCCAAGAGCAGAGGAAGAAATGGCTAGGAAGAAAAGGACAACCCAGGGAGGAGAATGTTCTTTGACAAACACTGCACACGCCACCAGCTTCTCTGGCCACTGGCAGTGCCTCAGCTCTCCTGGGCTGAGGAATGACTTGTGGCACATGATGAACTGGGACCTAGAATTCCTTGGCAGCTAGCACTGAAATTAGTTGTCCTGTGCACATCTGTGGGTGTTTTTGGCCATCCGCTGCTCCGTGTATACACAATTACATGCTGGTTATCAATAATAATAAAACTAATAATGACAGCTAATATTGCTTGCTATGAATTAGGTCATACATGCATTATTTCTTGAATCCTCACAAGTCTGTGGACAAGGCACGAATATTAATTCCCTCGATACCGAGGAAAACGCTGAGGCTCCGTAGGTTAAGTAATTTGTCTAAGATCACAATGCAAGGAAGTGCCAGACGCAGGAATTGCACACGGGACTCTCGTGTTAAAACTCATACTCTCAGCTATGGTGCTGTATCCACTTTCGAATGATCTAAGTCTTAAAAATTGGGACCCGATGCAGACTCTGCCAAAAGCCAAAGGTTTATTAGTGAGAAACCCAGAGACTGACCCAAGAGGAAGCATCTTAATCAGGAAGCATCAACGCAGCCAGCCTGTGTTCTGGGAAAAGCAACTTAAGATGGCACGGAGGAGCAAAGGCTCGGGGCCGGACAGGCAGCGGGCCTCCGTTCGCAGGCAAGCCTCTGGTTCCCAGGCCAGCACTCAGTCTGCTGAGCCCCACCAGCCATGGCGGGGTTTTCTTCTTCTTGTTCTTTTTTTAATAGCAAAGCCTTGAGTATCAGCTACTATCTTCATAAACACGGTCAGTACCTGATTTGGGCGTCATATAAGCTTTAAAAGAAAAGCTTGACAATAGTGTTTTTAATTTAACTTTTAATCCTTTGCACAGGAGAGCCAAGAGCACCTAGAAAAAGATGCCGCCGGGACATCACGGGTCCACAGAGACCGTTGCGCAGCTGGTGTGCAGGAGAACGGGGTGCACGCAGCGTGAAAGAAAAAGTCCAAGCACAGATGCACTTCATTTCGTATGACAAGCAACAAAGAATTTTTCGTGTATGTTATACAAAAACTGTCAAGTGTCGCTGAAATCTATCGATTGGGGCTTTTCGTGTAACTGAATATCCTGGGCTGCGGTGTGTACTGGTCATTAATGACCAGTTTCCCAAGATGACAGTGGCAGAAACTGCCCTGGACGTGACATAAAGTTAGCCAGACACAACCAGCCTTCTTCGATGAGTCAAAACGCACTTCTGGATGGCGCCCGCCTGCAGTCAACATTACGCGCAGTGTTCGGTTGTGAAAATCGCTCTCCTTATGGAACCTTTCCAACTGGCTTCTGAGCAAGGAGCAGCTCCCCGGGGCTACGGCCGTGGCAACACAACCACTCCCCTCCACTCCCCATTCGCAACTCTGGTTTTCCCAGGTGGGACCGGCTTAAAGCACAGTTTCCCTGTATTCAGAGAAGATGGAGAGAGACAGGCCCAGCCTTCCTGTAAGGGAGGAGGCTTAAAGTTCATTGTAGTCACTGGTGACTGGTTCCGGAATTGAGGAACTAGTTTGAGGAACTTCAGCACAAACAAGAAGCCCAAACACCTCGGCTTTCCACAGAAGGCTCCTGACACTTGGAGGCAAGTGGAGGAGGCGCACAGTCCAGCTCTGCCCTTGGGCAGTGGGGCCCTGACCCTGGCCTCATTTCAGGTGCCACCCTCCATACCCTTTGCCGGACTTGGCCTGAGTGACCGGCTTGAGGACATGTGCAGCAGGGGTGCCTTTGACATGTCCCTTTATAATCAAGGTCCACATTCTTGTCCTCCTCCTGAAGGGAGAAAGGGCTTGGGACCTGCGGTATGACGGAACAGTCACAGAGGATCTCAGACCGGTTCCTCGGTAAAAGAGGGGGACCCTGAACCAACCGGTGGTTCTCTCATCCTCCCTCAGGTCAGCAGGGCCTGCAAGAGCGAATGTGGCTTCTGGCCTTGCACTTCCACTCGATGACAAAGATTAGCCAGTGGCCACCTTGCTCCAGGTGCTGTACCGATCAGAGCAGATGTGGTGGTGACCGCGACAGACAAGGTCCTTGCCCTCACTGAGCTTTCACTGCCATCCTGGAAAGGCCCTCCTGGAGTGCTGAACCCATCACTAAGCAGCCCTGACATGCTTTGGGTCTCGGCCTAGGAACCTGCCTCAGCGGCACCGAACCGCGGGATTGGTCAGCCTGGTCGCCGCCCTCCCTGCCCGAGGCTGGGACAAGGCGGCCCTGTCTTTAGTGGCTGGACACTCGTGATCTGCCTCTGCTCTGAGTATGTTTAAGCACCTTCCTACCCACAGTGCCTAAACGGCTGCACGGGACTCCTTTCCCCCAGAGTGCGGAAGTTTCCAGATTGTTCTCAAGCTCCCATTCCAAGCCATACCAGGCCCCAAGGTGAGGGAAATGCCGAGGGTGTTCCTGCCCTGACACCTGCAGGGTGGGGAGGGGGTGCTCTCCCTTCTGAGGAGTTCCATGGGGGACGGTTTGTGCTGGGTCGAGCTGGAAATGGGGGGCACTGGGCGAGGCACCCTCCTCACTCCTCTCCAGCACCCCCAGTAGCAGCTCACAATTCAACCCCCACAACCTCTCTGTGTCCACTCCACCTTCCCTCGCCATGGTGACCTACTTGAGGGTAGTGCCCAGTCATCCCCATCTTCACATTCAAGCCCCCAGCGGAGCCGGCCACGTCTGATACACTTGACAAGTGTGTGCCCGACCAAAGAGTGGCTGACGCACTTCGGAGAAACAGGAGTGCCATGGGCTCCGGGCGCCTGGCTGGCCCGGGACGCGAGTGTCCAGACTGTCCCATCACCTGAAGAGCTGGAGGGGACGAAGCCAGCTCCCTGTGTGAGGTGTCACAGCACGATGTACTGCGACTGCACCCCAGCAAGAAGGCCTCGTGCAAGCTGGCTGTGTAGCCGCCCTTGTCCTGTTTCCCACAAGCTGACCAAAGGACCTAGTCATTTCCACTTCCTGGAGGAACGACCCTTCGGAGCCAAATGACATCCGTCTGCACTCAGAGGGGGACATACGCGCTAGGTGGGAGGCAGCACACAAATCTCTGCCTTTGACATTGACCTCTACAAAGCTATTTCCGCCTCTCCAAGTTCAGCACTTGTCAGCTGGGACTGTTGAGCCTGGTCTCGAGGAAACTGGTCCATCCAACCAACTTCTTGGGCCAAAGGGATCTATTTCTAATCTCAGTTGGCAAAAGCATCCTCACTGGAGGCTGGCTAAGCCCCCCTGTCTTCCCAAGCCTCCCAGCTATCCCTGGTAGTGACCAGTAGATGGATTCTGGCCCAGGAAAAGAAAATGTCACTGTCAGCAGGTGGGTGGGAGGTGGCCCTCAGATACAACAGCTCTTTGTACTCACAGGGGCCACCATCCAGATATGACATCATGCTTTGCCCGCAGGGAAGGTCTCTTCACTGACAAAAGCTGGAGGGATCTTGCCGGGATGACGCTGACCCCTCTGGCTCTTCTGGCCACCTGCACGCCACTGGCCACATGTCTGCTTCACAGGACGAAGGTACGGAAGAGCTTCCTGGTGCCGGGTAGGTTTGTGCCCTTACAAATCAATCATTCACAGCAACCGAACGCCCACTTTGGGTGAGATACTGCTCGGTGAGGTAGGAAAGTGCCCTACAGGTGTGGGTAACCTTTGAGACTTCCGGGTAACCCTGCCCAGAATTGTGTTTTCTTATCAACCTTGACCTTCTTTTAGTTACATGAACTTCATGGCATAAGAGAGTGCCAAATAAATAGCTTTCTGTTTACTTTTTCTGAGACCCAGAGCAGCTGCTGCTGACTCCACCCTTCCCAGGTCTGCCAGAACTTGCAGAAAGGCCGAGAGTGATGGGGTCGGGTGGGGAACAAAGCAGGAACAAAACCCAATTCCTGTCCCGCGGTGGCACGGCCCAGTGAAAACGGCCTGGACTTTACTCACTTTCAGTCATTAACTGGCTTTGGGCAACTCACTGGGTTTCCTTGGGTCACCATTTTCTCTTTAGTGTTTTTAAAAAAAGGAGCGTGCAACCAGTAATTAGCACGTCCAGCCTGTAAGTCTAATAGCACTTCCTCGACAGAGAGGTTAAGGCCCGATGTCACTAACCTGCCCGGTGCGCCTGCTGGTTAGTCCAGACTGATGGGGTGTGACCGTGGGGCCAGGAGAAGCCTGCAGACCACTCGCAAGGCGATGCTAGTTCTCTCCCTGCGGTCTCAGTGGAGTGGAGCCCGCTCTGTGGGTGACCCTGGGCGTTGATCACAGACGTCCCGGACTACCAGCAGTCAGGCTCAACAATGACTGCCCTGAGCTGGAACACAGTCTGAGCGAATTCTTTGTCTCGATGGACACCTGGTCATGGCTTTAGTGGTGAGAGGGTCAGCAGAAGCCACAGCAACCGGACACTGGGAAAGGGAAGGCCAGGCGTCCCTCTGTGGCTCCTTTCTGAGTGGACATGGTGGCTCCAGAAGGGCAGAGGTGGCAGCAGGCTGGACTTCCACAGTCTCCACACACACAGGGTGTGTTCCAGCCTCCCTGTTCCTGGAGCTCAGGGAGCCTCCAGCGCAGGTGGTGAAAAGCAAGGCAGGTGGAAGCAGGCTGCCCAAAAGGTCTTGCACACCAGAGCGCGGTCTGCACTCCTCTGCTCTTTGCCAGGGGCTCCCCAGCTGTGTGGAGCCAGAGCTCTCTTCCTGCTTCTTGGCTGACTGTCATGGGAAGCGGGCCATTTCCACCCCCAAGGTGGCTGGACTCGGGAGGGCACCGAGACTGCTGATACGGGCTCTGTGCCCTGGATTCATCTCCCTGTCAGTGGGCGGGCGCTGGGAGCCCACCTTGGCTCCCGGATCCCTGCCTCCGATGCCCTTGGCCTGAAATAAACATGATCTTTGGCAGAGAACTTCTCTGCCAGGTCTGCTTAAGACTTCCTCCGCAACTGTGTTCGGTGAATAAATCGCCTGTCACCTCCACCCCTGCAGGGGTGACTCACCTTCCAGAGAAAGTACTCTGCTCACCTAAGCAAAGCTGCCTGGAAAATGACGAAGGCACCTATCAAATGCAGCCTGTGGGCCAAACAGCTACCGAGCCCAGCTTCAGACACACTGCCTCTCACCTCCAGCCGGAAGTCAAGTGTGGAGCTGCCACTCCAGGCCTGCTGGTTTCATTTTCATCTGAACATGATGCCTGACATCCGGTAATCTATTTTCTAAAAACTAGGTTCACTTTAGAAATGACTCTTTGGCCATTGAGACAGCTTCCCCAGGAGAAAACAAAATGTTATTTAAAGGGAACATCGTCCTGGTGGGAGCCTATATTTTTGTTTTAGAGTAAAAAGGGGGAAAATAATTTAGAATGTAACGTCAAGCTGTCTCCCCCCACCCCATGGGTGACTTAAAGGGAACTCTCCGGACCTCTGACTACAGGTCCAGGGCCCCCCAGAGATGGCACCAGTGAGAAGTCGGCATGTTTATGAGAGGGAAGGATGGCGAGCTGGGGCCTCCATGTGGTTGTGGGAACCCCACCCCACAGAACCCAAACTGCCTCCCAGTCCCCCGAACACAGAGGAACAACGAGTCCGTGTCGACTTATCTTCCACACGGCATTTTCCTTCTCCACCCCCTGGAGTTAAGGTTGGAACCCACCTCACCGCATGGAGGGACTCAAAAAGGTCCTGGAAAGGCCCAGCTCTGCCCATGGCTCAGAGCCTGGGAGGGCCGAGGGTGCCCAGGAGCCAGAATCACCAATTCTGACCAGGCAGAGCCTGGCTCAGCTGGAGGGTGGCGAGGGCAACGTCTGGTGTGAGACAGGAAGAGCTAAAACTTCTGGACAGAAGAAATGCCCCCCTGGAGGTGCTACTGAGAAAATGACTGCCTTGCCAGGCCGTCTGATCCACCCTGACATCATCTTACAGAAAACAGGTCTGGTCGATGGGGTAACTGGCAACAGCGACTACTGCTATTACTACCGCTCCTGTCACCGAATTGTTTACAGCAGGCAACAGCACGGCTGATAGCGCTCCTGTTCTGTGGCTTATGATATGCCCGGGCCCGAGCAGCGCAGCGCTGAGCAGATACCCTCTCATTTACTAGTCACAACAGCCCGATGAAGTGTTTCTGATTCCACGTACAGAGGAGGCACCCCAGGCTTAGAGAAGTGAAGTGATCTGCCTGAGGTCACGAAGAGAGTGGCAGACCTGGACCTCAGGTATGCCTGCCCTGGAGCCTGAACCCCCCTCCCCACCCCGGCCTTTGACACAGAGACAGCAGGGACCTGCTCCTCGGCTTGGGAGACGTCGTTTCCCAGCTCTGCCCTAAGGTCTGCAAAACGAGGGTGAGCAGGTCCATCAGGAGGATGTGCTGTTCCTCTCCTAGCGTTTTTGATCATTATGGATGGGTACGGATGAATAATTCATGACACATTAATATTAACTAATACGTACTAACATAAATAGATAAAGAAGCTACCCTGATTTAGTTACCTCCAAAATGGACATGTTTTGGGGAGAAAAACAATTTATCCTTTCATGAGTTAGAAAAAGCAGCGAACTAGATGTCAGGAAACGCGAGTTTGGATTCTGAGTGGAACGCTGATTTCCTGAGTAATCTCCTCCACTTTATTTTTCCTTACCAGGCTTTACCGTCTTTCCTTATATGAATATTGTGAGACAGTACAAAAAAGAGCTACAAAGTACCACTCTTCCTAATGCCATATCATTTCAAGGGATTTAACCGGAGGGCAAGGGATTAAAGGATACAAAGTAGCAAGAAGGGAGGAGAACCACCGAAGCTAGAATATAGAGAAGGGCGCCCAGGCCATCGAGGGAAGGTGACTTTTCTCCACACTGTCACTCGGGTGGTACGGCTGGCCCACAACTAAGGGCTTCCACCCAACACGCCTCAGCGTCTTGCTCGGCTCCACCGAAATGGTCTACTCCACAATTTGCCCTGCGTTTGGCCTTCCATTTCTAATCGACCGCTTTCGGCATTTCAGTCAGCATCGCCACGGCCATGCGAAGCCTTCACACATGTCTCCCTTTGATTGCTCACCCTTCCCCTGAAGATGCCGACGCCCACTCTTTTCCCTCAGCGTGCAGGGGCCAGAGGGCAGGCGGACCCTGAGAGACCCCCAAATCCACTTACATGGACTCGTGCCCCTCCCCACCAACGTCACGTGGGTGCCATCAGAAGTGCCCATAAGGCTCAGATGTTTCCCGTTTAACTGAAATACTAAAATGGGACAAACAGGAAGCATCAGACACAACTGCGGTAGTGACTTATTAATCATGAAAGCAGAATTTTAGTTGCATTTTAACCTTTTGCCAGGAAAAAAAAAACAGCCCTGAGATGATGAAAGCCGTTGGTACAAATACGCTGCCGATCTCTGCATCGAGCTGGCTTTTACTTTTAATTTAGAACTGAATTCGGTGTTAATGTTTCTTCACGATCCACCCAGAAAGACATCCATCAAGTGGACCAACATGAATCTGTCAGCTCTTCGTCACTGTAGTCAGGCCTGTTAGGAAAGCTCATGGGCTGCTGTCCACTGAGACAGGAAAAAAATAGGAAATTCGGAGTGACTTCACAGGCCAAAGTGATAAGACACTCTCAAGAGGGTGCCAACAGTGAAGAAAACGACCCTGGAGGTAGGCTTACCTCATTCACCTCTCTACAGATCTCTCACCCAACCCCGACCAACACGAACTGTTATCACACACCAGAAAAATCACAACAGTTGCTGGGAGTTGGACGGCCAATCAGGGCAAGCCTACTTCTCGACATTAAATGATATACAAACACTTCAAGCATATCACAAAGAAGTCAGTGTTCAACAGGAGAACCAAAATGAGGAAGCAAACCTCCATCTGTTGAGGCGAAACGGCCAACCAGACATTTTTGTTTAATAGATGAAGGCTCTTTTGGCAAAGGTCTCTTGTCTGCGGTGCCCCTCCCACAAACTCTAACAGACAATACCAGGGGCAAAAAAGCCCCTTTAAAACTGCTCCTTATATTCTTAAAACAGAAGATGAACTAAAGTTTAGCAACTGATCACTGCCTGATTCACGAAAGTGCTAGGATGTGCATACCTGGGTATGTATTTCTAAACTTAAAGTTGGAGACTATTACTTTTATTTTGAGAACTCCTGAGAAGTTCACCACACCCTTCAAAATAAATGAGGATGTCCCTCAAGGTATCTGAGAAACTCAGAGGTTTGCACCAAAGGAACTGACTTCGACATCACTTAAAAGACACCAGGAGTAAATCCGAACGCATCATAAGCAAGACATGCACCTGACCACCTTTCTCCCACGTTAAGAGCATAATTCCACACCGATCACTCCCCCCTCCTTCCTGCACCTAAGTGCCAGAATGTGGTCCTGGTCCAAGGTGAGGAGCCCGGGGAAGACTCCAGCGGCCTAGGCTTGAACCCTCACCCTAAGTCCGAGTTACACTGCCCCCCTCTCAGGTGCTTTACCTTTGAAACAAGACAGACTATCTATCTTATCACATGTATGCGTCTGAAGGAAAAAGGAGGTTACAGGTATGAAGATACGAAGTAAGAAACACATCACTAATGTTAAGATACCATCTCCTAATCTTTCAGAACGACCGTGTTTCTAGTCAAGGGGTTTTCAACATTTTTCCTGGAATAAACTTCAGACTGCTATTTTGAATTAGGCTCCACCTCTCATCATTTCATTTCACTTGCTTTTAGAGTTCTTAATCAAGTCACCCGTGTTCACTCTCTCCATTGAACAAAAACTGATTTCTTTACTCCATTCATCCTCTTTCCCACCCATACTCATTCCCCATTCCGTCATTTAGGACTGGGAGCAACATTTTAACTTTAATAAGGAAAAAAACGCTTTTAAAAAACATTACCCTGCACCAAGGAGACTCCTGGGCAGGTGAGACTCTCTGCACTGTACAAGCAGCCCTTTTCTGCCTGGTGCCTGGTGGCTGCAGGTTGCTAGGGGCCACAACGGGCTTCAAAGATGGAAATATATTTGAGCCGACAGATAAAGTCCCAAGTGGAGTGGCCAGAAGAATTACAGAGGAGTCAGGGGAAGCAGGAGGATGCTGCCAGTGGCCAGCGTGCTCCGCTCTACGCCAAGGGCAGGCTCTGCTCCTTTTCCCCGCCTCGGGGTGTGTGACCCGAGAACTTCCCAGGGAAGGCCAGAGTTTCACTGACAGGGGCTGGTGAGAGGACGCACGGACGGGGCGCACTTGTATATCAAACACCTTCCGCCCCGAGCTGAGAGGAGCCCCTATCCTACGGAGCACCCAGGGAACGAGGCAGGAGGCGCCTGCAGGCCTGGCGGTGGGGGCAGCTGAGCACTGGGGAATCGGGATGTTGGGAAGGGGAAGCAGGGCGCCCCCGCGCGCGCTTCTGGCGACTGTGTCGCCTGCGGGGGTGCGGGGCGAGCACGGCGTGAGATCGTGGCCCTGGCAGCGTGCGTGAGGGCGTGCCGGCCGTGAGACCCTAGGGCTGAGGGCCCGCGCGCGAGCGGACTCATTTGACCCGCCGCGCCGCTGACCCCACTATTCTGGGGGGGCACGCCAGGCCGCATCCCGGGCCCGGGCTCAGGGGCTACCCATCCCCAGTGCTCCCCGCTCCGAGACTCGGGGTCCCGTTCAGTCACCTACCAGCCGAGCGCCGATCTCCTCAAGCAGCGACTGTCGCGCTACCCTGGCCCACGATCTCCCGCCGCCGGTCGCGGACCGCTGTGCTCTGGGCCCACTGTGGTCCCGCCCCACAGTCGCCCCGCCCCGGCCTCAGGCCCCACCCCTTTATCCTCTTCCCGGCCGCCCCCGGGCCACGCCTCCCCCAGCGGCGGCAAATTCGCCTTGGTGTTCGTGCCTCTTACCTTTGGCCGCACCTCCACCCTTGGCCACGCCCACTTTACTAATCTAACCAATAAACTGGTACGTTTCAGTCCCGTCATACCGTCCCTAGCAACGATTGGCTAATGGGGCCTTGTTTCCAGAAATGGGCACTATTTCCGGACAATGTTTATAGTAGAGACAGTGCTGGCCGGACGGATTGACAGAAGGCGGAGGCGGCCGGGGTTTGGTCTAACCACACAGGCGCTCTTGCCTTCTGGCAGTTTTTTTTTTTTTTCGGGTTGCGTCCTTCTGGAGGTTACGGGAAGTAAGAATCACTGCGCATGCGTGGGCACTCCCAACCTTGGACTTCAGTTACCTTGGAGACAGCGCAGCGTTCTCCCTGCTGGGCCGAATTCTCCCTCTTTGCTCGAGGCCTTGATGGCTAAGGCAGGTGGGACAGACGGGTGGGTGCGTGGAAAGTGGTGGTGGTGGTTAGAAACATGTTTATTGAATACTTACTGGGTGCTCAGCCCTGTAGAATCCTTGAGCACTAGTAAGACAGGTTCTAGGTCCTGCCCTCGAGAAGTGTGGGGAGCCAAGGGCCTACACAGGTCAAGCCTATGTGTTGAAACCGAAATCTGATGAGAGCCGGTGGATGGCGTGGTGCAACCCCCTCCCACAGTCCGAGAAGCAACGTGGTGCCAGCGCTGCGTGAAGCATCACCTTGGTGGG